CACACAGGAAGTTTTTAAAAAATGGGTTTATTCCTTTTTTTTTTTGTTTCTTTTTTAACTGTGCTCATCTGTAGACTGTGGGGATATATATAGATATATATATATAGATATATATCACTGTATATAGTTTTGTCCCTCCTGTCTTTGGTCAATAAATGCTTATGATTTTGCAGCTTAAAGCTTTTACTGTGGACATGTTCTGAAACTCCACATGATTTCTGGTTAACAGTGTGTGTGTGTGTGTTTTTTATATATATGTTAATCACACAGAAGAATGTGGTGCTTAATATTTGTGTACAGTATGTTTGGCTTCACTTGTGAGTCTTTGTTACACATTATGGCAAAAACCCAGCAAAGCCTCTGGGTTTTGATTGATTTGGCTTAAAGACGCTGTTATGGTGCTTTGTTTTCTCCCTTCTGGCTCCTGTTGGACACAGAGGTGTAATTAGATGAATATTTCGGGCGAATGAGTCATTTCTCACATTTCTGGACTCTTTTTGCTGTATATACAGTAAACTACGGTGGCTGAGAAGGGCAAAACACATTTAGAAAAAAAAAAAAACGTTGAAAAATTAAAAAACAAAATCACATCGTAAGATACACATTCACAATTAAAGAAACACATCCATCCCTTTTGTGAACTGCTTATTCCCAAATCGGTGACATGAACAAATGAAAAAACAATATAGCATTTTAGCATTTTATAGCATTTTTGAAAAAAAATGTTTCTTAAAATGTTATGTTTTTTTCATTCGTAAATGTGCTTTCTGAACTTTAAATGTGTATCCTAAAATCTTATTTATCTTTTTTAAATCATAAGGTGTTTTTTTAAATTGTAAATGTGTTTTGCACTTCTCAGCCACCGTAGAAAAACACGTCTAATCGCATCCCCTCATTAAACAACGCTATTTGATTTGCCGACAGGTTGGAAAATGATTTGTTTGTGTAGAAACCAGCCTTCTAACACATTTTAGCAAAACCAGCATTATCTACATTAGATTTAAACAAAAAAATGTGCTTCCACAGCCACTTTTTCATTGAACAATGAGTGGAAAATCTAGATTCCTCCCTTAAGTTGTAGACAAAGTGTGAGCTCCTGCCAGTTGGAGTAAATGAAACTACATTTTACACCGTTTCCTCCTCATTTCAGGCATTTTTTCTGCAGCTTCCTGTGGTTTTCAGGCACAGATAAGGAACCTCGACTTGGACTTGGATCTAAAAAAACTGGATCCACTGCTGATGGCAGTCTAATTGTGATATCTAAGTCCTACATGGGCCTCAATTCCATTGATGTGTGCATTTAAACTGGTTTTTGGAGCCTTTGGAGTGGTGGGAAGAGTTAGTTGAGACAAAAAGGCTGTTAGAGGCTGTAGAATAGCTCAACATTGAACCCCTGGCATTTGTTTTAGACATCTCCCAAAGAAGAAAGAAGGTTTTTGTGGACTTCAGCTTTATTTAAAAAGAGTTTAAACTCCCTGGTCATGGAAGAAACATACTTCTCATCCCTTAGAAGGCGGAAAATCAAACCTCCACCATCGACTTCCTGCTAAATGTTCAGTAGCGGCCAACTCCAGACATCCTATAGTATGTTTCTCAGAGTCTTATAATTAATCCTTATAATTAAACATAAAAATGATCCATGCAGTGAAGCATTTTTGAGCTAAATTAAAACTGTTCCTCAGCAGGGTGGAGTGGTACACATAGGGAAAGCAAATTAAATTTAAAAAAAAGGGTGTGACTAAGAACTCAGGTGACTAATTTGATGGGCAATAGAGATTCATAATAACAATTCCTTCCCCCTGTAAAACACCCTTAATATTAACTCTGTAATGCCAAATGTATCATATTTGACACATAAGGTTTCTGAAATGTTTTGCGTCTGATTCCTTTTGCATAATTTAATGGTAAAAACTTTGCTCAAAATCCTAATTTACACAATCAGATACACCTGATAACAGGGGGCAGGAGAAAAAATAATCTTGACCTATCGCATAGTGATAAATTATTCATATTAAAAATGTATTTTTGTTTTTTCTTTTGACATATTTTGTTAAAAGGCCAAATATAGACATTAAAAAAAAGGTAAGTTTCTGTTTTGTTTTATTCTTGGATCAGTTTTAAAGGGTTAAAATGTCTCCCATGTGTGTGTTTGGTGCTGTAGTCATGTAGAGTGGCTTTTTTTAATTTAATTTAATTTTTTTTACTTACTAGTGTCACAAGCCTCTGACTTCTGGTGGTCAAAGAAGAGAAGTGCCACATCCACTTTTTCCCTTATTAATTAAAATGTTTTTCTCTTTGTGACCATGCTCTGAAAAAACCCCTCCTGCTCAATCAACCCCGTTGAGTAAATTTGAATCATTATATGACAGGATCCAGGCCATAAATAGGACACGCACTTTCCACCGCTGACCATCGATTCCTTAGTGACCGCTTTTACAAAGTTTGACCGGCAGTCTGTCTTCTCTTATTGTTTTTTAATCCAATTCCCATTTGTGCTTTACATGGTTGGCATTGTAAGAACATCTCATTTCTGTATTTTGAGTTTGGGGGTGAAGTGTAAAAGGGAGGGGTGTGTCCAGAGAATACTACTAGAGTCAAATGCCCTCTTGTGGAAGGAGTAATTATGGCCCGATTTGTAAACTGTTTTCTATGAACTGGTTGTACAAACCTAGTCTTCACCTTTGCTAAAAATAAATCTATAGCCATTAGACTTTACTCAACAACTTTAGCTTTAGGGGGAAAGGGAACCCCGCTTAATATGTGGGACAGAAACTGAAGTGTCATCCTGTCTCAGCAGGATTGATTAGATATCTTTTTTATATTGATATCAATAGTTTTGATCGATAACATCAACCTCTTTGACTTACCGTGAAAGAGATGTTTAAATGTGGCTATTTTATGGTATGCTAAGTATACATTTAAAATCTGAATGTTAATGTTAAGTATAAATATAAATGTCAAATCTAAATGTAAATGTTTAACATAAATATGAAAGTCAAATCTTAAATCTAAATCTAAATGTCAAATCTCAAAATTAAATGTTAAATCTAAATATACATGTAAAATCTAAATCTGAAAATTAAATCTAAAAGTCAAATGCAAATGTAAACGTTAAATCTGAATGTTAAATCTAATTCTGAATGTTAAATCTAGATGTTAAATCTAATTCTGAATGTTAAATCTGAATGTTAAATCTAAATCTGAACGTTAAATCTAAATGTTAAATCAAATTCTGAATGTTAAATCTAGATGCAAATTTGACTTTTAAATCTAATCTTGGATGTTAAATCTGAACGTTAAATCTAAATCTGAATGTTAAATATGATTGTTAAATCTAAATCTGAATGTTAAATCTGAATGTTAAATCTAATCTTGGATGTAAAATCTGAATGTTAAATCTAATCTTGGATGTTAAATCTGAATGTTAAATCTAATCTTGGATGTTAAATCTGAATGTTAAAATCTAAATCTGAACATTAAATCTAAATCTTACTGTTAAATCTTACTGTTAAATCTTACTGTTAAATCTGAATGTTAAATCTAAATGGGTTGATGGGTGAGTCAGAGTGTAAACATGTAGAAAACATGTCCCTCGCCACGCCCCGTAGAGTCTACACAGCCTCCATTGTCCTAACAGGTACCAGTGTTTCTGTTTCTCTTTATTTATCCCGGGTTAGTCGGTGCCAGGATACTGATACCTGTCCTAAACCTGCCACCCAGGTACGCTTTCCCGGGGACACGCCCACTGAAACGCTCATTCTCCCACAGTCAGCGGTCACGTGGGCAGGACGCTGACGTGTTTACGTCAGAGCTGTTTATCCAATGAGGCTCCGTAGCCAAATCCAGCCCAGCAGAAACCGGAAGTACCGGCGGCCAAATGTTTTCCAAATGTTTTACCCATTTGACATTTACATTTAGACTTAAAATTTACATTCAGATTTTATTTTTTCATTTAGCATGTCATGAAGTAGTCTGTTTAAACAGCTGTATCACATTCAGAGACAAAGACCACCTCTTTAACCACCTATTCATTACTAGATCCGACATCTAAATTTAGGCGTAACATCTAGATTCAATATTTACATTTAGATTTAACACATGCATTTATATTAAACGTTTAAACTTAGATTTAACATTTACGTTTAGATTTAACACATGCATTTATATTAAACATAGATTTAACATGTACGTTTAGATTTAACATATGCATTTAGATTTAACATTTAAACTTTTATCAATATTTAGATTTAACGTTAGCATATTTTCATATTAGTAAATGTCTCAAATATGCGTTAAACTGACTAGAAATGAAAAAATATTAGCTAATGTTACCTAAATGTGAAGATAATTAGCTACATTTGGGAAATATATGAGCTTTATTTTTACATTTGTCATCCCATAATATGAAACTGTTGAGTTATTGACCGTAAAAAACATACAAAAGCAAGAGATATGAATAATTTAAACTCCATTCAATGTGTTGTGTATTAACTAACCACTATACACTCTTTTGCATTAATCTTGGCCTCTGTTCTCCCGTGTCACAACCTTTAAAAGCAAGGTATTGTGGCACAGCTGCGTGAATCTGAGTGATACACAGGTCTGTTAAATAAATCAGCAAAGACAACCATGATCCCTTTGTGTGTCTTTCCCCACAATCAGTGCACGTCCATCTGTTTTTGGTAGAACCATAGACATTTATACTTACAATTAAACATTCAAACTATGGAGCAGGGTTCTTCCAGGTGTGACATGTCATTTGCTGATAGATTTGCATCCTTTGGTGCTGGATTTAGACATTTTTTTTAAATAACAAAAACTGCAAAATACTGGATGCTGACAAAACTTATCCTTTTTCCTTAATAATAAAAAAGAAGTCTGTAAATACTCAGGTTCACTTCCGTCTTAATGCAATTGTGAGTTAATTCATGGGTCAGTAGTTTACAGTCGTTAGTATGGTTTTCAGTTGAAAAAAGTATCGTTACAATACCATTGCAACATTTAATAATTAATTATTTATAATTGATTACTTTGACGTTCCCATTATTTCGTCCACCAGTAGTTCTCGTTTGCTCTTCCTGTTATCGCGAGATGTGCCGGAGATACGCTAGCTCCGTGCATCAATGGTGTAACAGATAGAGCGCTTAGCCCGGAGTACCTCAGCGCTGATGGTGAATAGCCACTGCTGCGGTTACGGGCGGAGGAGAAGAAGCCGCAGAAGAAGTCAGCAGTGGCAGGGGGAGTAACAGTTCGGAGTTAGTCCTGTAGGTTTTTTTGTATTACGTGTATCGTCGGAACCATACAAAACGCAGAAGGAAAGGGAAGGGGAAAATATCGTTAAAAAGATGGCGGCCGCGGCCTCGCCGGGCTCCGGCTCGTCCACCTCCTCAGACTGGATTGTGCTGAGAGACGGTTGCCTGCGTTGCGACGAGGAGGGCCTGCGAAGCCTTTCCTACCACCCGGCCCTCAACGCTATCCTCGCCGTCACCAGTCGTGGCAGCATCAAAGTTATCGACGGCACCTCCGGGGCCATCCTTCAGGCCTCGGCGTTGCACGGTGAGTCCCGAAAAACAACGGCTCCGGTTTGGACCAACTACCCGCATATTGTCAACAGAGGCTCGGCATGGCTGAGGGCTGAGCCGCAGCATCAGCTGTCGCTAGCGGTTCACAGGGGCCTAGTCGGGCTAATTGGCACGGAGGGCTTGTTTAGGCGGCCGTTAAAGCCCGGTCACCTTTGCCGGAAGTTGCTATGTCTGTGGCCGAAATTAGGACGTTTTTCTTGGATACCGTGGGTTTGACACCACGGAGTCAGCGTTACATGTCGGTTCTTGCTAGCAGCATTAGCCTAGCGCTAGCTAACCGGTTAACCTCTGTCAGTTTCTGTTGCTCTGGCGGTCACTTGTGACACGTCGTTGGCGGTTCAAGTTAAACGTTGGACACTTAAAAACAGACAACAAGTAGAGCTTTAATAAGCTCAGCTGTCACGGCGAATATAAGGAGGTTAACGGCGGAATGTTGTGGTAGCCTTTCCGGCATTAGCCTCTCATCAGCCGCATAACTTCACAGCCCAGCAGGCACGATGACAGTCGTGATGGGGGAACCTTCCTCGAGCTTAAAACCGACGCAGATACGGGGAAACGAACGTGATTTGCTGAATTTATTTAGCCGGCTCACTTATAAAAGAATAAATAGATTTGGTGGTCTGCAACAAATCGTGTCAACTGCTTCCATTTCGTGACATAAGGGGACACCTGTGCTGGTTTTGGGGTTGGTTTGGTGTGAGGTAGCAGGGCAGTCACGTGTCCAAAGTTACATCCACCTGTGGTTATGAGTTCACATGCCCCTGCAGCATCAGTGGATCTGGGTTTTTATTTTTATTTTGCAGAGAACGTAGGTTACAATGCTGTCACTCATTACTGCTTGTGTGAAGCCATGTATTGCCACACAGTTGTTTGCTCTTTTTAAACCCAAAAGTGTGCAAAAAGCAGCTTCCTAATACTAGTCATGCTTTTTGTTTTCTTTGGGTCAGACACTAATAATCCGCAATAATGTTTTACCTTGTTGACATGTTTCGGCTGCTAACTGCAAGCCGTGGTTCTTGTGGATTATTATTGTCTGACCCAAAGAAAACAAAAAGCATGACTAACACATATGAAGACAAGAAGAACTTAATACAAGTAGCTCCTAATACTGTGTGGAACCTTGAAGTCTTTTATGGTAGCTGTTCACAAAGAACTTTATCCTCTCAGATGGGAAAAGTGACCATTTTGCTGAGCAAAAAGCCTTCAGATCCTGTAAATTCTGATTTCTGTCTTGCATGGGCTGCATGTTTGGTGACCAGCTGCATCCATCTCTGGATCAGCTTTGTCTGAGTTGTCCAAAAGGCAGTTTTAGCTCACACGAACCCTAAACGCCAGAGATTTAGCCCCACTAATGAAACATGGAGTCTAACAGAAGCCCGGAGACACACTTATTTTATAATCGCATGGCTTTACTCCAAGCAAACTGACCACAGGTGAGGATGGTCACTCCTCCCATGCCATTTAAACCCTGTGTGTGTCAACCTGTGTGTATGCTATCAGCCCTGAATTTCTGGGGTGTGTAAACCTTTGATCAGGGTAATTTAAGTCAATTCTGTTAGCCGGTATATGCCTTCATTCAGCCACTGACCGGATGTGATGGAGAGGTTTTGGCGTGATGATTCGGATTCTGCCAGGAAAAGGTGTAACTACACACAAGTTCCAACATGGCCACCGACTGGGGAACATCGCATTTATTCAGGGGGGCATTTTTCTTTGCTGCGCTTCGGCTTTTTAAAAGCTTGCCGGCGATATCTGTGAATCGAAAAAAGCCAAATAAAGTGCCACCTAAACAGCCACATGAGTTGTCAACACTGGATCCAGCTCCCAGCAGCATCTGGACACTTTTTCTGGCTCCGGTCAGATCAGAAGAGCTGTATTCAGGCATGACATTTACATTCAGACGTTAGTCCGACCCTCCAAATGATTCTCAACTTCGTTGAAATGGGTCTGTAAAAGTGGGCTGGTTCTTGACGTGTAGGGGGTCCACACACCTCGGGTTTAGCACACTGGTCCATCGTGTTTTTCAGTCCTGGTTTCGAGGCAACTACGGCTTTGGCCGGCCTATTTTTTAATCGATAAATAGGCCAGTGTTGCAGTCTGAGTCAGTCACTTTCACCTGAAATGGAGCAAAGGCTAAAGGTGAGGTCAACCAGGCCTGGAGGGTCGATGTTTGGAAGAAAAGGCCAGCAGGAGGAGTACGTTCAGTGCTGGTGGTTGTAGCTGTCAAGGGCCCAGACATTTGTTTTAGGAAAAGCCGCGTTTCGTCTGTGGATTCGTGCAAAATCATTATCGGGGCTTTTATTTGCTGGGGCTTCTATCGTGATTTAACCTCCAGAAACCCACTGTTCGGTGGGTGTGATTGAGTAGCCGCACAGAGGAGATGGTGGAGCACATTTCAGACTCTTTTTGGGGTGTTTTTTAATACCTTTCTGCTGCCTCAGGGAGTTTCTTCTTAATGGGAAGATAGGGACTAGTGGTGTCAAAAGTATCGATACTCAAAAAAGTATCGATACTAAAATGTTGTATCCGGATACGATACTCATTTTCAAAAGTATCGATACCACCCCCCTTCTCTCAGATTTATTTATGTTCATGTTCATGTTCATGCATTTGGCAGACGCTTTTATCCAAAGCGACTTACAGGGTATTTATGCATTTTTTTACATTGTTTATGGTCATTAACAAGACGTTAGCCTTGAACTGCTAGCCGCTAATGGCTAATAATAAAGTGCTACCATTAATCAAGTACAAATCTAACTCTGCCCACATCCAAGTCACCAATAGGAAGATCCCTGGCAAAAAAAATGGTAATGCCTCATGGCAATATAGACATTAATTTAAAAATAGTGAAATTAATCTTTCGAACACTTAATTAAACTCTATACATATTATTATGTTAAAATAGTGGATGTTAAATAGGTTTGTAGAATAAGTCCAAACAAGTTTAACCAAAAAATATTTATTTCTCACAATTATGAAGGCTGTAGGGTCAGGGTTAGGGTTAGGGTTAGAGTTAGGATTAGGGTCAGGGTTAGGGTCATTAATGCGGGCCACCAGTCACCATAACATCAGTAACAGGTCAGTTTGAAACCAAAGACACTAACCTGTCAAAATTCAGTTACATTTTGGGGTCTTTGTTTTTATCCTTGTGGTATCGAAAATGGTATCAAGTATCGAGTATTTTCCTGAGTATCGGTATCCAGTTGAAAACTTTAGTATCGTGACAACCCTAATAGGGACAGATATGATGCGGTGTGAGCCGTGCAGAGGCTGGGTTCTCCTCACACTGTGTCTCCCCCCCCCCCCCCCCCCCCAGCCAAACCCGGCGGCCGGGTCCGGTGCCAGTACTTCCCGCTGGTGGACAAGGTGCTGTTTGTGGACGACTACGCCGTGGGCTGCCGGAAGGACCTGAACGGCATCCTGCTGCTGGACACGGCCCTCCAGCCTCCGGTGGCCAAACCGGAGGACATGGTTCAGCTGGAGCTGCCGGTCACAGAGGTGAGAGCAGACACAGACACACACTCTTCTGCTGGCGGGCACGAGACACCAGTTATTCTTGTTCCACACTAATGTGTTTGCACTCTAGGGGTGGGACGCTTCACAAAATCCACGGTTCGGTTCGATTCACGGTTTTGGGTTCGGTTCGGTATATGTTGATTGTTAGGAAAATCTATTATGTCTTGTATAGTCGGGTTAAAACTGAAAGAAAAAAGCAGTCTGACATTTGATCCATTATTGCAACAGTCTGAGGTTAAAGTAGGTGAGATTCTGGCATTGCCAGAGAGGAAACAGAGCTAATTCCAACATGTGCTTCCCTCTAAATGCAAAGTGTCCCATACAGCAGACCTACAGTGGGGGAAATAAGTATTTGACCCCTTGCTGATTTTGCAGGTTTGCCCACTTACAAAGAATGCAACGATCTATAACTTTAATCATACGTACATTCTGACAGTGAAAGACAGAATCCCAAAGAAAATTCCAGAAAATCACATCATATGAATTTATAAAAATGGATAACCATCTGATGAGGAAAAATAAGCATTCTTTGTAAGTGGGCAAACCTGCAAAATCAGCAAGGGGTCAAATACTTATTTCTGCCACTGTATAAATTGCTGTTGGCGCGTCAGATTTTTATCGGCTACGCTGCTTCTTCTTCTTCTTGTTTCCTACTGGTGGTTGGCTTTGGGCGCAATAGCGCCCCCTTCTGCTCTGGAGTGTAAACGCTTCCCTCTGAGAAAAAGGAGCAGCAGGAACCGAACGCAACACACGCCAACCCAACCGAGACAGAACCCAACGGTTCAGACGGTTTTCAGAAACCGTCCCATCCCTATTGCACTCATGCCTCTGTTTGAGAAGAGGAGCATTATTTCTTTATGAGAAGTTAACCCTCGAGGTGAATTCACAATTATAGGAGCTTTCTATGTTTCTGTTTCTGCATTTAGACGCTTTACTCCAAAGCAGAGCCAATGTTCCAGTTCTCATCAATATGACAATAGGTTCTCTAGATGAAAACCCCCAGTCAGAGTCAGTGGAGACGGGAAGAGATAGAGGGAAGCCCAGAAAGAGGAGTAGAGGGTCCAGAGGTCTGGAGGAGTTAGGATAGGAGCTGCTCTGTGGAGATAGAGGAGTTTCTGGAGACAGACAGGGACCTGCTGCTAGCTCCTTGCTCCATCTTGGAACAAAGGCTGAAAAACAGTCTAATTGTCTTAATGTGGAGCAGCTCTGCTGGACCACAACCCGCTGATTTCCAAGTTCTGAGAAGGCGCTAAAGCTAGTAGGATGTCGTGTAGCTGCAAGTACACACAACATTGTTTCCAATCATCTGCTGATCTGGGTTGTAAAGGAAGTAGATGAGAGTCTCTGTGGATGGAATCTGTCCCTGCCCACAACACCGGGACCAGCCCTGTGTCGAGATAATAACGCTGGAGGGAGGAGGTGCTGTTCCTGGCACTTTGTTTAGAATCACAACAGCGCGTCTGTGGACGGAAGCTTTCTGAGGGTGTTTTTCTTTTTCTTTCATTTGTGTAGAAACAGATACAATCATTCAAAATCCCCCAAAACGGCACACTCAATTGATTGACAGTTTATTCCTCCGTCTTCTGAAACTGTATGAGCTACATTAAATGTGATTTTAAAGAAATGAAGTAGGGAAATTCCCCTAATGCGCTTGACAAAGAGGGTTATTTCCAACAGGCTGAAAGTGTCACACCTGGGCCTTTTTTCCTTGTGCCACTCACCTGCCAGAAGAAGAATCCTCCAGATCGCCCTGCTCCCCTGAACAGCTTTTTTTTACAGTTGTTGGTTCCTTTCTGACATTAGAAATAAGCCCAGGGCTCCAGTTTTCAGAGTATTTTTAAGTTACTGCTATAGATGCTCAGATGTGGATATGGGTACTTTTTATATCTGATTTACTAATCCACATCTAGTCACTACACCGTCCTGATGCATTATTTTTGAATCTTAGATGTGATGGACATTGGAAACGTATATAAGAAGTAAATAAAGTAAAAAAAAGCAGCCCAGCCTCTAACTGTAAATGCTTCTCTAGCAGGTTTTCTGGTTGTTGTCATTGTTAATCGACAGTCTTTGCTGTGCGATTGAATCGACCTGATCATGCATAAAGCCGGCTTCACCGTCCATGAAGTCGGTTTGTTTAACTTTCATCACATCTGTGTCCTGCTATTGAAATGTGTGGCTGTCTGTGTGTGTGTGTGTTTAGGCGCAGCAGATGCTCTTAGCCTGCCAGGAAAAGATCGACGTGTCCAACACGGAGGGCTACGAGTCTTTTATCACCCAGCTCAAAGAAGGCCTGAAGAATACCTCACACGAGACGGCAGCCAATCACAAAGTAGCCAAGGTGAGTCCAAAAAGCTTCAACAATGGAGTTCCATCCCAAACAAAGGTGTGTGTGTGTGTGTGTGTGTGAGCATGTGACAGGAGTGTGTCTGCCCTAACTGTTAGGGATGGGGATCGTTAATATTTATTGATATCGATACCTTTATCGATACTCCTTATAAATCCCAGTCTTTATCGATACCACTATCCATACTTTTCTGTTATTTGGTGGAAAGACGATGCGACAATATTTAGCAAATAAATAATTGTAATTTAAATTAAATGTCATTTTTAATAAATGCTGGCATCAGTAGTTTAACTATATATTCTAAAATAATTAGAGCAATATACAACTGTATTACTCATGTTTCTCGCCAAAAACTCAATTTCCCTTTTCTTTACGTTACACTTGAACGCATCATGATAACCTAATTGTGGTTTTACTGAGCCAATCTGAACACATCATCACGCATCACGTCTGAAACTTTATTTAATTTTCAAGCTAACTAGCTTGTATGCTGCCGATTACAACACGGATTTCACAATTACTTTTGTAATAATAAAAAAAACCACCAGACTCGATAGTGGTATCGATAAGCCCAAACGCTATTGATTTTCGGGTTTTGAAAAAAGTGGAACCGGGTCCTTGATAGAACCGGGTTTCGATCCTGATATTAACTGTTGGACTCTCAGTCCGGCCAGCTGCTGGTAACTTGGGGGGGGACAGCCGGAGACCATTTGGCTTCGCTTTGCTGTAGTTCATTGTTGAAAATGAATTTTTTCCACCCACTGAACCCAGTTGAGTTTCAGGAGGCTGCACCCCGTCCCAGCTGCCTTTTCTTAGTGTTCCTGTTTCTGCTTTTTAACCAGCAGATGGCACAGGTGTAAAAAAAAAAGAAAGAAACACCTGTTTATACTACACAGTAATCAACAAACTCTGGATTTTCAGATTTTAAGTTGTAGTAATTCCACCCCTCACGACTTCAGTGTTGTTTTTTATTTGTCTCTGTTAAAATGAGTGAGACTGTTCCTCCACAGGCCTCCCTGTTTTTTTCTTTTTTTTTGCTTACTTTGGCTAAAAGGAAGGCTGTAAGTTGGCGGCAAAGAGCAAAAGCTGTAAACAAGTTAGACAAGTCTGACGAATGAGGGCAAAAGAAAGAGCGCGCCGCTCCTCTGGGACCAGGAAGTGCTCCTCTGGGACCAGGAAGTGCTCCTCTGGGACCAGGAAGTGCTGCTCGCTGTGCTGTGGGGGGCCCAGATGGAGTGACCAGGTCCTCCTGGTGTGGCTGAGTGGTGCCAGACAGAGAAATGCTGTGAGGGCCCATTTCTGGACTCCCTTTGTGTCTGTCAGTGCAGGGAAATAGACTTTAGCACGGCACAATTTAGCCCACTGCTTATGTAACGGCCGCCGTAGGGTCCAGCTCTGCTCCATGCAGCACGCATCACATCCAGGGAATCCTACAAAGAAACACTTTGACCAAGCCTGTCCAACAGCTGCTCCACCTGATGTTTGGCTAGAGGCACTGGTCAGTAGATTATTGGTGCAGATGGGCCTGTACGTCCAGAGCTAGATTTTTCTATTCAAAATGGTCAGATCAGGTCCACTTTAAGAAATGAAAACGGATGAGAGACATGGTCTCAGTCACTAAAGACATGGATGTAACGTTATTGTGAGTGGAGCGTAGAGGACGAATGGGGATAAGGAGGCAGAAGCCGAGGGCTGCTGGTGATTGGGTGAATCCTTTTATACCTTTTTTCAGATGGAAAAGGTGAACAAACTGGAATGGTGTCTTTATTTTAATGTGGATCTATTACACCTGCCACTTATGTTCAACAGAAAAGAAAATACATTTAACAATCGCATGCTTTCATATATATGTATATATATATATATATATATATATATATATATATATATACACACATGCATACTAAAATGTTGTATCCGGATACGCTACTCATTTTCAAAAGTATCGATACCACTCTGATTTATTTATGTATTTATTTACGTTGTTTATGATCATTAACAAGACGTTAGCCTTGAATTGCTAGCTGCGGCTTATGGCTAATAATGACATGCTAGCATTAATCAAGTACATATCCAACCCTAACCCTAACCCACATCCAAGTCGGCCATTTTGATTAGGTCACCAATAGGAAGATTTCAGGCAACAAAAACCTAATTGCCTCATGGCAATATAGACATTAATTTAAAAATAGTGAAATGAACCTTTCAAACACTTAATTAAACTCTATATATAATATTATGTTAAAATAGTGGATGTTAAAAAGGTTTGTACAATAAGTCCAAACCAACCAGTCATGATAACATAAGTAACAGGTCAGTTTGAAATGAAAGACACTAACCTGGTAAAATTCAGTAAAATTTTGGGGTCTTTGTTTTTATCCTTGTGGTATCGAAAATGGTATCGAGTATTTTCCTGAGTATCGGTATCCAGTTGAAAATTTTTGTATCGTGACAACCCTAATTTAAATATATATATATATATATATATCTATCATGTTGGGGTGGAAGGGTTATTTATGTAATTTCCCTCCATTTCCATTGAGGTTAAATGAATTGAGAGTAAAAGCTGCATCTAGTATTTGTGCCTGTCACTTTAAAAGTAAATAAATCTGTAAATGAATCGGTGACCTAGCTGTATTTCTGTATTTTTCCCGTCTCTTTGTGCCAGTGGGCCACGGTCACCTTCCACCTCCCCCACCACGTGCTGAAGCTGGTGGCTGGTGCCATAGTCAACGAGTTGAAGAAGATCAACCAGAACATCGCGGCCTTGTCTGTGGCCTCATCCATCATGGACAGGCTCTCCTACCTCTTGTCAAGCGCCAGGCCTGAGCTCGGGGTGGGCCCCGGGCGCTCTGTAGACAGGTGACAAACTCTTTTCACGATCGTTTTCAGAACAATAACCGTTTAAAACCATCATTGGGATTCGCTCATATATTTCTCACAAGCCAAAAATGGCAAAAACTGATCAGTGTAGACATTTACAAAAGTCAGGAGCAGTCAAAATTAGCCCGTAAACACAAAAAGAGTTCACTGATTGAGTGACATCCTGATTTGTTGTAGAAGACCAATGAAAATGAAGAAGACTGTAATGTTAAAAAGGGCTTTTCTGTTTTCCTTCAACTATTCAACTTGGAGAAACGTTGCCCACAGATCCTGTTGAGCAAGTGAAAGATTTTCTCTGGTCATTTTTGACCACAGCCGGATGACTCTGGGCACGCAGAACCCAGCGCACGAGGCAGAACTTGCCCTTTAGAAATCACTATCTTTCCAGGGAAATTCCCGATATTTCCAAGGAAAAAAAAAAAAAGAAAAAAAGTCTAGCTAAATTGGAAGAATCACTCTTTTATTTACATTTTGTTTGCAATCCATTAAATTGGCATCACGAACATTCTTACTGCTTTTCTTTTCAAACGGTTATTAGACATAATGAATAAGTTGGGCTTTTGAGTATTTTATTTTTTGGAAAACGAGTCCATCTTTTCGGTCAGATGTTGAGCGTCCTCTGGCAGACGGTGAATGTCCACTGTTGGGATGTTTGAACGTTTGTGCTCTCCACAGGTCCCTGATGTACAGCGAGGCCAACAGGCGGGAGACTTTCACCTCCTGGCCACACGCCGGCTACCGATGGGCTCAGCCGGACCCCATGGCCCAAGCCGGGTTTTACCACCAGGTAGGTTCTGTGTAGGAGGCAGGACTAAGGCTGCAGCCTGAGGTGACCCAAATCCCACT